TGGGGTGTGGCTTACTCAAGGGCACAGGGCTAGTGGCAGAAGTAGGATTCAACCTGGGGCTGACTCTAAACCTTGCTTTCAACCATGGCTCTCCAGGAAGTGCAGCAGAGGCAGGGGCAGGATGGCTCTGCAGTTCCCTGACTGGTTTCATGGCGTTGCCATGAGAACCATATGGTTTGGTCCTCGTTTGGGGCATGACCATTCCTTGCGCCCGCCCTGCGCATGGGTGAGCAGTCTTGCGGTATGTCCTCTGCTGGAGATGGGCTTGGCTGGGTTGATGTGTTATTTCCAAAACCACTGAGATCAATGCAGGTAGAAAATACTTCCCTGGGGCCTCTGCTGGCTGTGTCCCCCCTGAGAGCCATTCCCTATGTCTTTCAGGCTATAGGAGCAGCAAGAGGGATGGATCACAGCTTGTCCTCTGGCTTTGGAGCCCAGTCACTCACTCTCCAGGGAGCTCGGGACTCTCTGGGTCAGGGATCCTGGGCAGCCTTGGGCCTGTAAACCATCTAAAGTGACTTTATGAGGCTGCTGGGTTCACAGGGCCCATAAAACCTGTGGAGTTTGAAGTCTACCAAGTTTCCACGTCTCCCAGGCCAGGGGCCAAAGCAAGAGGAGCATAGACCCCCAGGATGCACAGCAGTCTGTGGGGCTGCCCCATGCTCCTGCCACTCAGGGCTGAGAACGTAACCGTGGGAGCTGGCCCAGGCCACGCATTCGCTGGCCCCTCATGAGTCCTCACAGCCCCTCAACTGCGGTAATCAGTCCCTTAGCAATAATTTTTCAGTTTTGATTTTGTACAATAGTCTTACATTCTCATTTTACAGAAGATGAAACTGAGACTTAGAGATAAGAAGGGAGAAGGCATTGGAAGAATGAGGCGACTCTGGGGAAGACAGAGGAGAAAAAAATTACCCAGAGTGGGCTGTTCTAGGGACCACCCCAAACACTTGGCTACAGCAGGAGACTCTTATACTTAAGAATTTTTATCCAAAGGGCTGGGGAGTAGCACAAATGGTTAAAGCTCCTGCCTAGCAAGCACAAGGACAAGTTCAAACCCCAGTACTGAAAAAAAAAAAAAGAGGCATTAAATCTGAGTCTGAGGACCCCATCCATGTATGTAAAGGAGTCATGTAGACATGACTTCCAGCTGCAAAGTGAGCTGTGTCACCACATCTCTGATTGTAGACAGGGCAGGTGAGAGCAGTGAACGGAGCTGCTCTACATGAAGTCATACAGTGAGCTGGTGACAGGCCAACAGGAGCCAGGAGGCAGCAGAGCTGGTGTCTCGTTGTAGAAGCCAGAAATGGTCATCAGATGGTTCACCTTGCAGCTGGCTGGCTTGCTGGCCTGCAAGCACTTCCCTCCTAATACCAACCAGAGACTCCAAGCCCACTGGAGGGAATCCTGGATGTGGGAGGCCTGGCCCAATGCCCCTTCTAGAAAGTGATTTTCCATCCCCCATCTCTTGACAGGGCACTCACTCCCCCTCAGGGCAGCTCTCACCCGAGAGGCCCTCTGCCCCTCTGACTTTCTGTGCCTCCTTTCCATTGTCTCACTCTGACCACTGGGACCCCACTCATTCATTCATTCATTCATTCAGCAAATATGTATGAGCTCCTTGTGTGTGGAGCCCATGTCTGCCATACCCTCTGCCAGGACAGCCCCCTGGCATCTGTGTGTCCTGAATGTGTCCTCTTAAAGCAGCTTTTGAGGTTAGCAGTCAATTATTTCCCCCACCTCCTTACCACTGGCTTCCTCTCTGAACAATTGTGAAAGACCCCTGGGAAGCCGTGTGCAGAGTACAAGGATGGAGCCTAGGTTGGGTGTGAGGGACCAGGCCACAGGCCTAGTTCTGCCTCTGCCTCCGGTGTCCTCTTCTGAGTCATTGGTGACTTGATATAAATGACCCAAGGCATTTCTCTGCCCCTCAGGCTTTGTACAGGGAAGCCACTGTGGCCCTCCAACTGAAGCTCAGATTCTTCAAGTCCCTTCCCTGGGGGTGACTTCTTCCACTTAGCATTGTTTGTGAGTCAGCCTGCTCTGGCAGATCCCCGCAGGTCCTTCTGGTACCCCAGGCCCAATCCAGGCTGGCACAGAGTGGGGCTTAGTCAGTATGAGCGTGAATAGAGAAGGGGTGGTCACCAGCAGGGTGGGAGCATACCTTTCAGGATGGGTGATGTGGCTTGAACCCTGACCACAGTGTGTGCCTTCTCTGTGACCCTGATAAGTTTTCTAACCTGACCCTCAGTTTCCCAACCTATAAAGGGAGTATAGAACAGAACTCAGAGGGAGTTAAATTATATAAATGGTTCATGTATGGCAGACACTCAATAAATGGCTGGTATTATTTCACTTCGTCCATATGTGGCAGGGGGTTCCTATATTTTATGAGGCAACTGTGCATCCTTTGGGAATATGTGCACAGAATCCAGTTGCATTCAACTCACCCATGTGCAAGGTCTTCTACCGTCAGCTCCTAACCATGCCCATCAGGCTTCAAGGGCTCCACCGGGTGGAGAACTGAGCAGGCTGTGTGGCCAGTGGCTGGTTCGTGTGTAGACCTTGTCATTGGGGGCCTGGCAGCTGGCACAGCAGGCTTAGAGTGGTGGGTCCAGGCTTCCTGCCAAGGTAAAGCAGGCTTGGTCACCTCCACCCACCTTCCTGGCTTGGCCAATTAAAAGGTTCTGCCTCACTGGTCCTGACGCCCTGGGGCTGAAGAGCTCATGGGAGAGCAGAGGCCCACGCTGGGGACAGGCTCTACACACAGAGGCCCCTCCTCCTTCAGCTAGTTCTGGTCATTCTTAGTCCTGTCCTGAGCACCCACTGTGGGGCAGACCCTGACTGGGTGCTCTACGTATTGATCTCCCTGACTCTGCACTGATTAGCAACACAGGGATCTTTTTTCTACCTTAGAGATGAGACTCAGAGACAGGAAGCAACTTGCCCAAGATCACACAGCTGGCAGGCGCTGGAGCCACTATTTGAACCTAAGTTTATATGATTCCAGGGCCCAAGCACATTACTGCCATTGTACATGAGTGATGGGGGTCCTGCCTATGACATCATTTCCCTTCCTCCCCACCATTTTCCCTTTTTGGGGTGAGAATTGTCACCATGGGGGTGGGGCTGGGTGCACAGGCTCCGCCCTGCAGGAGTTCATTTTCAGTGGGGAGGGTGGCCAGAGTTGACAGCCACACTCTGAAAGTGAGAGACCTGTGAGAAGGGAGCACCTGGAATTAGAGAAAGTGTCATTCAACAGCTTTTAACTTTTGTTAAACCCTTAGATTAATTTATTTCTAGCTTACCTCGTTCCAAAAGGAAGGTGGCCTACAGACATATGGAAACACATTCTGGTTTTAAAGGGAGAAGGAAAAGTCAAGGCAGAAAAAGATACAAGCATGCAAGGGGTAAGGTTAGCTCTCAAAATGCCTACTGGGAGATTCTCTCTGCTTTCCAAATGTGAACCTTGAACACAGTGCCAAGCTTTCCAGAAAAAGGCAAAAACACACCAGCGATTTTCTTTTCAGTCTCTAGAATCATATAATATTCTCCAAGTGAACTCTTATGCACAACCTCAACCAATGTATCAGATAAAAGGGAAAGGGCTCTAGTTTAAGAGGAGCCCCAACTACCTTAACCTTCCCTTGACCATCATGGCTGCTCCTGGGGCACCTCTGAGTTGCTGAGGGATCAGTATGAGACCAAAAAGCTATGATCTTCTTTATCCATGAGTTTAAAAGTGAAGGAAGCCTGGGGAGCCCCAGTTGTGCTATCGTTTAGTCTCATCCTCCAAGCTGGGATCCTGCTGTGTTCTGGAGACCCACAGGAATCACACACAACTCTGCCTGGGAACTCCCTCTCTGATGGGAGATGCAGGGACATTGGCTGGCTGAATTGGGCTCCAAAGCAACCAGCATTGACCTTGGAGTTACTCCTTTGTTATCATGGATCTGTTTATACTTAAGATTTTTCAACTTTAAGATGGGTGCAAAAGTGATACACAGCAGCAGAAACTGTACTTCAAATTTTGTTTTAGTTTTTAGGGGGCAGCGGTCTCCCTATGTTACCCAGACTAAGCTTGAACTCATGGGCTTAAGTGTGATCCTTCTGCTTCAGCCTCCCAAGTAGCTGGGATAACTGGCAGGTGCCACCATGCCCCGCTCTTCAAAATTTGATGTGGATTTTTTCCTGGGCGAGTGATGTGTGGTCTGCTACAGTGCTGCTATGCTGGGTAGTGGCAGTGACCTCAGCTCCAGTAAGCCATGGGCTCCCAAGGGTGAATGACTGATACCAACATTGTACCATAGCACCATCACTGTGAGGCTAAGTTCAGAGAGTTAAGTGTGTTCAATGCTGTTTTGACTTATGCTAGGTTTATAGAGCTGTAACTATTGTAAACAGAGGAGTATCTGGAATTGCAGAATGGGGACAGGACTTTGGGTTCCATGGTGGAAGGAGACAGAGACCTGGACTGGAATCCCAGCTAGTATAAGTGGACAAGTCAGAAATTTCCAACACTTAGATTGAGACTTTACTATGTGCAAGGCAGTGTTGGACCTAGTTTTGGAGGGCTTCAAACTTATAATTTGGGGAACTTTAAGTAGAAAAAAACCATAAAAATTACAAAATGATGTACAAAAGTGCATATTTATTTAGAGTGAGAAAAATCAATTACTTTTTTTTCCCTTTGGTGGTACTGAGGCTTGAACTCAGGGATTTGTGCTTGCTAGGCAGGTGTTCTACTGCTTGAGAGATGCCCCATCTCATCAATTACAAATTTTTATTTATTTATTTTTAATTATTCTGCTTTTATAGGACCTTTTTCTCTCACTTCTAAAAGTGATCTAGACGGGGGCAGAATTTTTTTTTTCAACTCAAAAGAATATGATCTAGGTGGGGGCAGAATATTTTTTTCAACTCAAAAGAACAAAACATAACCAGAGAGAAGGAGAGAGCAGATGATGGAGATGCCTCTCTCGTAGGGCCAGATGGCATCCTCACAGGTCGATGTCCCGCAGGTCTGTAGAGGTGGTGGCTTGGTCCAGTTCATCCTCTGACTTGGATCCATCCGGCAGCTCCTGGCTGCTCCTGGCGGAACTGCTGCAGGCTGTTGAGCAGCATGGCCTCGATCTGCTCCTGGCAGGCTTTGAGACAATCCACATCAGTGTTGGTGATCTTGGCCAGCAGCTCGGTTAGGGCATCGCACGTGAGTGAGCTCACTTTCTGGTCCTGCTGGAGCCCACAAATGGCCGCACCCACACTTCCAGTTGCGATCATCGATGGTGGGTACATGGTGAACTTGAAGTCGGTACCACACAGAGCGATGAAGGTCTGCACATGCTTGCGGATCAGAGGCAGCTTCTCCCTCTGCTGAGGCAGCCTGCGCAGGATGTGCTCAATGAAGTCGTGAGGGGTGACAGCAGCCAGGTTCCACTTCAACTTGCCCAGCACCACCAGTTCCCACTCCAGCAGCTCCTGGGGCTTGATGGAGTTGTCCGTGTAAATACAGTTTTTCCGCAGTCATCGGAATGGTCTCTTTGAGCTTGGAGGCCAGGAATATGTACACTGCACCCAGGAGCTGAAGGTGGGTCTTGGGGGTGGGGACCCGGGCCAAGAAAAGATCCAGGTAATTCATGGCCAAGGGCAAGACCTCCTCTTCACACTTCTGATCCTCACAGACCTCTAGCATCCGGGTGGCCACCATCCTGCGCCTGTAAGGCTGGATGTCCTGCACGCACTTGAAGTAGGAGCAGTGAGGAAGGTAGTGTTCTTCGATGGTCAGCAAATTCTGCAGGACGCGGTGGTCCAGCAGGTTGCGGTCCGGCACTGCCCTGCGGACCGGGTCCACCTCGCAGCACAGCAGCTCCATGGCCAGCCGGAGACTCTTGTTCCCAGGTTTTCTCCGGACTAGAAAAGTTTTATTTATTTTTTTTCGGAGGGGGAGGAGAGAGGGTTCCCCTTACCTCCTTCCTTTGACTAAAGAGGGCGGTTTGTTTTTGGAGGGGGGGAAAGGTGAGGACAGAGAGAGAAGCAAAGAGAAGAGAGAGGAAGGGTAGGTGGCAGGCGAGCAGAGCCTGAGGTCTGCCTAGCTTGCTCCGGTCCTCCCCTCTGAACTCGACTTGCTGTCTCCAGCTGGCTGTCCTCTCTCTGAGGCAGTGAGCAAGCTGGCAGGACCAATTACAAATTTGTAAAAGCTAATGAATACCACAAATGTCACCAAATTTAGAAAAATAATATAGTTCTTCTTAGTACCTTTTCCTTATAGTTTTTGACCTTATACTCTGTTTCCTCCTATTATAACTTTTGCCATGTTGTCTATAGAAAGATAATTCAGTCTTTCTTCTCATATAATTAATTAAAATTAGTTTATTTTTATTGACAGGATGCATAAAATATGCAACTTAGAATCAAATTTATTTGCTGCTTGTAATATTGCTCTAGGTTTGTACCCTGCAAATACAGAACTTCTGATGAATTCTATTTCACATGACTTCCCTCAAGAAAAAAGCTGTGTTTTTATTAGCATATATTAATGGTACAAGGTGAGAGGTTGCATTGTGGTGTTTGCATACACACATGTAATGTACTTTGATCATATACGCCTCCTCTGTTAGGCAGCATTATCGGTTACATTGTTGACAGAAGAGAATTTGTTTTTGTAGGACCCAAATTTGTTGCCTATCGTGTGGCAGATGTAATGTCTACAAGAATAGTCCATAGACAAGCTTCTGGCTCTACACATTTCAAACCTTGCTCCTCTCCCTATCCACTGACTTCCAGGGCCAGTCACAGCTGTGATGCCAAGCACGCTGGTGTTGTGTGCTACAGAGGTGTTCATTCTGTGGGATATTTAATAATAATTATACCCCTAAGTGACCGCGAACCATGTAAGTGTACACCACTAATCCCAAATTGCTGTGAAAGGATCCTCCCTTCAGCAAACTTTAGCTAAATCCACCAGATGTCTCAGCCATTCAACACTCTCTGATAGGCAAGGAAGATGACAGAATGTCAGAGTAAAAAGAGACAGTGGTCCAACTCTTTATGGGTAACATGGCTTACTTTTTATTTATAGGATTTTACAAAAGTTTCTGACCATGGACTGTGGCTCAAGTGGTAGAACACCTGCCTAGCAAGCGTAAGGCCCTGATTCAATCCCTAGAACCACCAAAAAAAAGTTTCTGACCATGAGAATACATTGATAGAGTCTCTTGCAGAAAAGGAACAAATGCAAGGACAGAGTCATGCATTGTAGATTTCATCAGCTTCCAATAAATTGACCTTACTGGCAGGCACCATTGTAACCTTGCGTGTCTTAGCCGATCTCCATCACTGAGGTACAGATAGATAGAGAGCCAAAGGTTATGTGATGGGGGATGGTTTTTTTTTTCTTTTGTGGCACTGTGGCTTAAGCTCAGGGCCTTCACCTTGAGCCACTCCACCAGCTCTATTTTTGTGAAGGGTTTTTTCGAGATAGGTTCTCATGAACTATTTGCCTGGGCTGGCTTGGAACCGTGATCCCCCTGATCTCTGCCTCCTGAGTAGCTAGGATTACAGTGGGAGCCACCAGTGCCTGACAATGGACAGGTTGAAAGTCAGAACCAGGTTACCCTAAATCCTTCACTGGTAACTTTTCACCCTAGAAGCTGAAGGGACTGGTTTTCAAGAGCTGGATGGATGGATGGATAGATGGATGGGTAGATAGATTCTTGCCATATTCTTAATTCATTGAACACAGCCAGGGAAACCTGACTAGACATATACTCCCCAAGGGCAAGACCAAATCAGATACTGTGTCCTGCTCAGTGCAGGGCAGGACACAGAGGAGGAGCTCAAGGAAGGGCCAAGCTGGAGGCAGAGGATGAGGAGACCCAGGGCTCTGCCCTCAGAGCAACACAAGTATGGGAAAAGAGGACACAGACCAGGCAGAGGCAACATATCACAAAGCCATGACCATTGGGTACCAATGCAGCAGAGCTCTACTTAGAGGTGGCAATCAGGAAAGTCCAAGTCCCTTTCCCCTTGGGCCACAGTGCAGCCTGCAGAGGACTCTTGCATGGGGTACAGGCCTGGACAAGTTGACCTGTCAAGATCCCCAGCCCTGCAACTTATCCTTGTCCACTCTTTGCCACCAAAACTTTCTCAAGCTTCCCTCTTGAGTGTCCCAGGGTGTCTAGGGAATGAGATGCCCACCCAGGTGGTCCATTCCAAGGTTCTGAAGTTGGAACGGACAATGTGCAGAATGCCAAGCCCAGCTGAGTTCCACATGGGGCATTTTATGGGACCAGCCCAGGTAAACCCCATCCCATTAATGTGCTGGGTTTCTCCTCTGCTTTCAGTCATCTCACCTCCCACAGCTGCGGGTGCTGAAGCCTGAGCCCCAGAGCAGCATAGAGAAGACAAGTGAGGACAACCGTGGGGCAAGGACTCTCAGACATCTTCCAGTCTCCCCAGCCCATCCACAGATTTGGGACTGAGGCTCAGGGAGCAGGAACCCACTGAGGCAGAGGCAGAGGCAGAGCTAGAACCTCTGACCTGGCCGCCAATCCACTGTGCACCACCATGCCCCAGGCAGCACCTTTAATTGAAGGAAGCCTGGGGAACCACGACTATGCTGCCATTTAGCCTGATTCCCTGTGGGCCTGACTACCTCCTTCACCTAGAGGACCTCTCCTACAGATGGGGACCATGCTCTCCGAAACAGCAACTGAGACATGTAGTCTGACAATAGCTAGGTTCTCATGGGACCAACTGGGAAGGAACTGAAGTCAGAACCATTGCAAATTGCAGGGCTCCTCTCTCTGCTCTGGTTTAGCACCAACTCCCAGACGCCTCCACTCGCTCCACACTCCTTTCCTGGTGCCAGCTCCACTTTAGGCCCTGAGGACTAGGGACCCCGAGATGAGTCAGATCTGGCCTTTGTCCAGGATGAATCACAGTCTGTTGGGGAGACAGGTGTGGACACAGGCAATGACAATGACAAACCAGTGTACTCAGCACTGGGACAAAGGGAAGCCCTGACACAGCCTGGGGTCAGGAGGGCTGGAGAGTTCTCTGGGGAGAGTGAGAATGGCACCTGACCTGATGTGTGTGTGTGTGTGTGTGTGTGTGTGTGTGTGTGTGTGAGACCAGGATCTGAACTGAGAGCTTTAGGCTCACAAATGAGGCACTCTATTTCTTGAGCCACACCTCCAGTCCATTTTGCTCTGGTTGTTTTGGAGATCTGGTTATTTTGGAGAGTCATGAACTATTTGCCGGGGCTTGGCTTCGAACCACAATCCTCCTGATCTAGCTTCTCAAGTAGCTAGGATTACAGGTGTAAGCCACTGGCACCCAGCCTGACCTGAATTTTGAAGATGACTTAATCAGGCAGCTAAGCTACGGGGAGGGCGGGAGTAGGAGGATGGAGTTAGCACCTACAAATGACAGTCCTTTAGAAGGACCCATATGGTTGGGGAGGAGAGCTTGACAGAGTAAGCACTTTGTAAATATCCCCAGAGTGGATGGAAGGATGGGTAATGGATGAATTAAGTTTGCTGTAGCTGGAGTGTGGGAGGTTTGGGAGGTTGGAAGGGTCCGAAGGGAACTGGAAACTGAGAGAGTCCTGGAGCCATGTGTGGGTCCCATAGTTGTGGGACCTAAGGCAGGGCTTCAGCAGGGAGGGCGGTGGCCAGATTTGCCTTTGGGACTGCTCAGGAGGCTCGGGTAGAGTTGTTAGGCCAAATATAGGACACCTAGTTAAATTTGCATCCCAGTAAGCAGCAAATGCTTTCTTTCGTATCTGTGAACTTTCATTGCTAACTCTGGCAATTCTAATTTGAGGCTGGAGTGGCGACCAAAGCAGCGGTCCAGGAGAGGTGTGGGGCAAGGGCTGTGGGAGGAAGAGGAACAGCTGGGTGTGGTTTTTAATGAAACCTTGTTTACATAGAAGCTAGTGCACAAATCATAAATATAGCACTCTCAATAAATTATCCAGTGACACCTCTGCTAACCACCAAGTGGGCCCAGAAACAGAACAGTGCCCTTGTGCCCTTCCCACACTGCTTTTGACCTTTTTGGTTCAAAAAGTTGGTTGGGCTTCTCTGGTCTGCGTGGTACCTGTGAGTGCCGTCCGTGTGCGCTTCCATGGTGGAAGTGGGGGTCTTGGGGGTCTTGGGTCAACCTGCTAAATGACATTCCCTGTGTGACGAAACCATGGTTTATTCCCTTCTGACTACTGGGGTGTTGGAATAGCACTGCTGTGAACATTCTAGCATAGGTTTCTTGACATAGATTTGTGCGTGCATTTGGGCCATACTCAGTGTTGTCCTGGAGCTGGCCTTTAGGAAGAAGTATAATAGATACTTAGAAACTATTTTACTAAAAAGCACTGACTCCCTGCCCGGGCCCACAAATTAACTGGAAGCAGGAGAAAAGCTTGACATCCCTGCCTCCATTTTGAACCTGTCTGCTTTACTCTGAATCTCTCTCTTTGTCACCTGCAATCCCTTCGGGTTCTAGGAAGGACAGGATTGATTGATAACATCTTTATGATGGAGGACGGAAACCGCCCCCAAGGAAAGGAACAGCAGAGCCTCCACAGGACAAACCTCCCCCCCAGACAATAATGACTTCCTTATCCTGACCATCTTCCTCCCCTCAAGTGACGACAACGATAACAACTTCTCCAGAACCCTCCAGTTCCAAGCCACACGTTGCCTGGAACTGCTCCATAATTGTGCATACTTCTGTCCCCTTCCCCAGTTCTTCCTCTCTTTAAACCTGAAACTCATGTCTGTACCCTAGAAGATGGGCTGAAGAGCTCTCTTTGCTTCTTCACAAGTGGTGCCCATGCCACGCAATGACTCTCCTTTCTCTGCCCTGCACCAC